TAAGGCTCACGGGAAACTGTTTGGTGATGGCGGAAAGGCATTCTTGTTTATTACTGAGGTTAGTAATGGTAATGAGCTGCAAAGGGCGAGGAGATTGTAGGCGCGGTGCAGTCTCTTCTCGCAGAGACTTCTCTGGAGGAGCCAAGGGCTCCCTAACTTGGCCATGTGTAGGAAGAATAAAATAAAGACCTTCCTTCCCTTCCTTTCTCATTCTTTGAGAGCACCAGAAAAAAGGGAAACCTTATAACATTTTATCACCATCTCTCCTCTCTCCTGCTTCTGTTCTCCCTTACCCTCTTTAGTTTCTTAACATATTCTGCTCTTTGGTCTTTGCGCTTTGGAGGAGAAGAGAATCTCCTCTTTAGGAAAGAGCAGCGTTCCTCAAGCTATTACCCAACCCTGTCCTCACACACTCTGTGACACCAGAGTGGATCCAGATTCTCTTGCCTACTCCATGGAATTTTCCTTCTATCTTCAGCCTTTCCAAGTCTCTTCTTCCTTGGTCCTGGGTATTTGATCCCATGAATCTCTGGGAGCTTAGAGGCCAAGAAGACCTTGAAGTCCTTCATTAACTCCTCAGAGAGTCTAGAAACTTTCCTCAATTCTGGGGACACCAGGCCAGGGAACTCTCTATAAACCTAGAACAGACTAATTTCTAAGTCTTTTCAGATCACATTTAGGCTCCTTTAAAAGTCCTCCTTCCAACATGGAACTTTAGGTTTTAAACCTCCAGCAGAACAAGCTTCCTGAATCTACAGGTCAGATTTTCCAAAAACAATAATATTAATAAAAAGTAATGCATCAGTGAGAGAAAGGCATATCTCAATCCAAATTTTAATCCAGCAGGGTTGGATGGGAATGGGGTGTGTGTATTGGGGGGGGGGGTAGAGGAGAGAAATCACTGAAGCTGGGATGAGCCAAGAGGGTGGGGGAATCCAACCTCTAACTAACAATTTCTCCAGCATAAAAATGAAACATCAAATTCGTTAGCCCAGGGCCTTCATTTTTCCCCTTCCACATTATAACTAGTTATTGAACTCGCTGGAAGATCTAAAGGCCATTTGCGAAGAGACAAATTTCAATGGAGTTTCCCCATCAATAACCCCATGGCAGTGACCTATTGGAACAAGTCAAACACCCGAGGTGAAATGCAGGTCACTCTGTCTAACCAATATTAAAATGCGGCCACTTTTTAAAAAGCCACTTTAAACGAGATTTGAGGAAAATTGAATTCCAAGGAAGCCAAGGCAAGGCGGGGGAAATACACGAGAGGACCTTGACTATGGTCTCCCAACAAACAAGAAAAATTCATCTTTAATATTTTAAAGGGGGGCAAATTAACATTCTATGATTGCTTTTTTTTTGAGACTATAAGCAATTTCAGGAGGAAAAAAAGGTTGAGTGTTTTCTGGTGACATGTCCGGGTTATTAAAATCATTTTAGACCAATTCATTACTTTTACTGACAAGAGATTTAAGGAAAAAAATCAATTAAGCATTTGCATATTCTTTTGCATACATTAGCCCTGCCTGCTGGCATTAGGAAGGGACAAAAACACACATATACTCATGTACACACAGATACATGCACAAAGGAAAAAAAATGGTTTGAGTCTTGTTTCAGTTTGGGGGTTTTTAAGTTGCCCCAGGGAGAAAAAAAATCAAAATGAAATGAATTGCCTGATTGCATACCATCTCAAAGTCAATTTACTTGAGGAACAAGGAAAGAGACATGTTGTAATTTTTAATCCTTAAAGCAACAACAACACATACACATGCAAAAAGAACACTGCACTTTGGAGAGTAGGGAAGGAATGACCCTCATTTTCCTTTTTTTTTTCTTTCCAAATCTTGATTTGGTTCTTCCATTTATTTTTTCTCCCTCAGAAAACCCAGAGAGTATGAGAGGTGAGATTTTTTTTTTTAATGCAGCACAGAATCTGTGGAGCTGCTGAGCTCTCTCAGCCGGCAGCTTGTTACTGGGAAGGGGTGGGGGGAATATGGGTTATCCAACGGTCAGTATGGTAATCTGGACACAATAAGGCCTCACACACAATGGACACATATTTTTCTTCAGTGGTGTCAGAAGGGAAGCGCTTTGTACTGAAACATGTTTCCGAAAGAGAAACCAGATCGAGATTTAGAAAGGAGTGGGGTGTGGGATGTCGTGTGGAGGGAATTTGGATGCTAGCAAAAGATAGAAAAAATGTAAAAATAAAATTGGGACAGAGTGAAGTGGGGAGGCAGTGGGGAGGTGGAGGACTTTTGGCTGTCAAGGAGGCTGGCTGGAGAAGCACAAAAGATAGGACCAGATACTAAGGTTCATCATAAGCAAGTACCCCCAGCCTATTGCCAAATACTGGAGCTCCCTGATAGGATTTTGTTCCCATGCTTGTAATAATGTCCAGGTAAAAATGTTTGTGTGTATATGTGTGCAGAAGTATTTTACCCATGCAATAGGTTGCTTCCTTGCCAGCAAGCTATAAGAGCTCAAAGATAGCTTTATGTTGTTGGTTTGGGAATTTGTTTTTTATTGGTGTAGATTAATGTGAGCACACTTGGAAAAATCTTCTAGATTTCACTTCCTGAATCTCTATGTTAAATTTTTTTTTTGCTGTACAAACCTTTGGTGGAAACCCCATGTACTTAGGGCTGCAGCAGAGGTATTTAGTAGTTTGGTAAATATGAGTACCATGTATGCATATCTATTGAGAACCATAATAACCAAAGAAAGACTAGACCTTTAGTGGAAAGCATCTGAGCCCTCTGTGTCTACTCACTCAGACTAGCCCCAAAAGGGTCTCCTGACCCACTTGCAGAAGCTTAGAAACTTGGGAGGATGGGTAATATCTTAGGATATTACCCTAATTAGGCCATGGTGGTGAGAGTTGAAGAAAAGAGGATTGAGACTGGGAGCAGGGCTATAGAAAGAAGGTAGAAGGGAGCAGGGCTGAGAGGAAAGGAGCCAGCAGGCAGCTCACCTTTCCAGGTGGAGAAAAGAATATTCCCATCTGGGGCCAGGTAGGGCTGCCTCCTTCAGGTGTTGGCCTAGAAAGGAGATGGGAGTGAGGCTACAATAGCCTTCCCCTCTCTTACCTATATTCTCTACCTTTTCAGATCTGTCTGGAGCTATGGATCTCCCCCATGGGGTAATCTGGGGCTATCGTTTAGATATGTGTAGCTCAGGATTTAGTACTGACTTCCCTGGGTCCAATTCTAGCAACTTGCAATATATCCGTTTCCCCCCCCCCACAACCAATTACAAAGAAAATGAAAAACCTTCACACCATTTCCCAGCATCTCCAACCAAACAGCTGCCTTCCCCTTTGCTCACAGCCTCAAGTTCCTCTACCAACCAAACAGCTTCTCACTCCTCACATTCAGAGGGTCCCCAGAGCAAGGGTCTCCCATCTACTAGAGGAGTGTGACATCTGTAAGAAATTTGGGGGGGGGCCTCCAGGGAACTACTGTTCCCTCATTCTGCCTATGATAGGGAATCCTATCCGCTGGGCGGGGGGGAGAGATGATAGAAGATCCCCCCATAGGCTGGGCTGGATGGGGGTTAAGCCCCAAAACAGGGCAGGCAGCCAGGGGCATCTTGGGTCATCTCCTGTGGCCCAGGCACCTTCTCTCTATAGCCCTCAAGATGAGCCCTAACTTGAATGTGGGGGGACCCTCTTCCACATCCCAAGGTTGTGAGAGGAGGTTGGGAAACTCCTGCTTTCACCCTCCCTCTGTCAGGGCTTTATATATATATATATATTTTTTTTTTCCTTTCCCCTCCTCATTCACTTAATTGCAGATGTTCTAATTAAACCCTCAAATAGTTGTTATGCCGTTTTAAAAGGTACTTATTCAAGTGTCAACCAGGCTGGGCTGGGAGGAGGCAGCGGAGGGCGGCGAATTAAAGGTAGATTGACTAATCACGGCGGCGATCATAATAATAAAATCAGAGGGAAAAAAATCACATTACGACTTTTCGTGGAAAGGAGGGAGCAGGCAGGCAGCGGCCGCCAGCCCTGCGCCGCTGCCGACACAAAGAGTGCAGGCGATTCCCCGAGACTGATTTATGACGTTTTACAGCCCTATAAAAGCTGTAGCGACGAGGCAAGCGCTCCTACCACCGCTGGCAGATTTAGTCTAATAAATAAAACATAAACAGTTAACTTTATGTGTCACTTTTATTGTTATCAAGTAAAATATAGCCAAGCCTCGGCAAGCTATGATTTTAAACTATAATTGTTATCAAGTACAACAAGGGGACCTAGCTCCCTCCCTGGGCTTTCCCTTCTGCTGCACCCCCTACCTCCCTACCCCGTCCCCCCCAACTCTGACATGGATGATCAGTTAATTGGAATCAGTCGCATGACGTGACCACCCCTAGCTGAGGGAGGGGAGCTGAGAAAGCAGCCCTTCTTTGCTCCCTCCCTCCCCTGTGACCCTGCTTCCTCCCCCCCAAAAAAAACCCCTGGGTATTTCCTGTGAGTGGGTAGCAGAGGGAGAGGGTGGGTATGAGGCCTGCCACCCCCCAGGTCTGCTTTGCCTCGCCATCTCTGTGACCTCACCCCTCCTTTTTGGAAGACAGCCTAGAGTTGGCCCTGGGGAATATGTGTTTACATGTAAACACACGTGTTACATAGATACATCCCTGGCTGGAGGCAAGTAGGCTCTACCCACACAGGCCTTACTCTGCTCTAGATCTACTCTTTATGGGGATGGACAAAAGAAGAATTCTCAGGGCTTTGGCTGGGCACCATCACAGGGCACTGACACCTGGCAGAAAGCGCTCTTCTTTACCAGAGCTTCTTAGAGCCAGTCTGGAAGGTAGCTGTCAGCCACAGCAGGACAGGCAGGGTGGAGAGTGGAAATCGGAGGCAGCAACAGCAGAGGTCCTGCAGTGCTCTGGGGCAGGGGCAGGGGCAGGGAGGGTCAGTGGGTAGCCAGGGGAGCCGAGGCTTCACTGTACTCTGCTTTTGCCAACCACTTCCTGTCTCTCTTCAGAGGGGCCACAACCCCCAGACCTCCAGAAATGACGTCAGAATCATTTGCATCCCGCTGCCTCTACCTGCCTGGTCCAGCTGGGACCCTGCCTCGCCTGCCCCAAGGCCAGAGGGTTGGGTGAGTGTGTAGGGAAGGGGGAGGCTGGACCATTGGATGTGGGGGGGTACCCCAGGCTCTTCAGCCTCTTGGGCTCAGCCTGGGGCCCTCTCCATCCAACCTCCACTCCAGTCCTCATCCAACTTCCTCTTCCTGCGAAAGAGGGGCGCTGCCCGGTGACCTACACAAGCTGAAACAGGCTCGCCATGAATGGAAAGCGCTGGAAAATCATTGGAGCCAAGGCCCACCGGGCCCGCTGGAGGCCGGCGAGGAGAGACCCTGGATGGGGGCTGAATCAGTCTCACGCCAGCACCCCTCCCCACCTCCTCATCCCAGTGCCCAGGCTTTTGGAGAGCAGCTGGAAGCTTCTCATCTCCTTTTGCAGAGAAGGGTTGTCAGTCTGGTGGGGTGTGTACTGGTGGGTACCCCCAGCACCCCCTACCAGCTATTCCCACCTCACACACCCCCACCCCCACCCACAGCAACAGCAGCAGCAGCACCACACACACAAAAAATTGGATACATTTTGAATAAAGCGATTCGGTTCCTTATCCGGGGACTGGGTTGCTCCGTGTGATTGGCCGGCGGAGTCACATGGTGAAAGTAACTTTACAGGGTCGCTAGCTAGTAGGAGGGCTTTATGGAGCAGAAAAACGACAAAGCGAGAAAAATTATTTTCCACTCCAGAAATTAATGATCATGAGCTCGTATTTGATGGACTCTAACTACATCGATCCGAAATTTCCTCCATGCGAAGAATATTCGCAAAATAGCTACATCCCTGAACACAGTCCGGAATATTACGGCCGGACCAGGGAATCGGGATTCCAGCATCACCATCAGGAGCTGTACCCACCACCGCCTCCGCGCCCTAGCTACCCCGAGCGTCAATATAGCTGCACCAGTCTCCAGGGGCCGGGCAATTCGCGAGGCCACGGGCCGGCCCAGGCGGGCCACCATCACCCCGAGAAATCGCAGCCGCTCTGCGAGCCGGCGCCCCTCTCAGGCGCCTCCGCCTCCCCGTCCCCAGCCCCGCCAGCCTGCAGCCAGCCAGCCCCCGACCATCCCTCCAGCGCCGCCAGCAAGCAACCCATAGTCTATCCATGGATGAAAAAAATTCACGTTAGCACGGGTAGGCAACTTTGCTTTTTTGCTCCCTACCCTCCCTCCCCTCTTTTTTTTTTCCCGGCGCTCCCCACCCTCTCTGGCCCCCTCCGGCCCCCTGTCCTCCTTTCTCTCCTTTCCCCCTCTCTCTCTCTCCAGGAGCGACTCTGGGTTAGCACAATTGAACTGGATTTACGAGCGAGAATGGGTAATTACATCCCCCATAAATTTTATGGCTTAGCTACTCTGGGCAGTCCGAGCCATGTGCTACGATCTGTTATGTATGTGTGAAAACTATGCTCGCTTTCTAAGGGCGCATAAATAATTCAGTGTCGTTACAATGAGGATTCCCCTCTTATTACACTACAAAGTCTCCAGCTTCCTTCAACTTCTTTATAACCCATTTAGGTTGATGACTTAATTCTCACCAATCCCTCCTCCTGTTCCTCAAAGCTGAGGATGGGGTGGAGGGTGGGGGGGCGGGGAACCTGATGCCTCTGAACCCCACTATTTGCTTTCCCCCCATTCCCCCCTCCCTCCCCCCAGTGAACCCCAATTATAACGGAGGGGAGCCCAAGCGCTCGAGGACAGCCTACACTCGGCAGCAAGTCCTGGAATTAGAGAAAGAGTTTCATTACAACCGCTACCTGACCCGAAGGAGAAGGATCGAGATCGCCCACTCGCTGTGCCTATCTGAGAGGCAGATCAAAATCTGGTTCCAAAACCGTCGCATGAAATGGAAGAAGGACCACCGACTCCCCAACACCAAAGTCAGGTCAGCGCCCCCGGCGGGCGCTGCGCCCAGCACCCTCTCGGCAGCCACCCCGGGCACTTCTGAAGACCACTCCCAGAGCGCCACGCCGCCGGAGCAGCAACGGGCAGAGGATATTACCAGGTTATAAAACATAACTCACACCCCTGCCCCCACCCCATGCCCCCCATCCTCCCCCCACACACAAATTGACTCTTATTTATAGAATTTAATATATAAATATATATTTTTGGTTCTTTTTCTCTCTTCCTCCTGCCTCCTCCCTTGTTAATTCCAAACAGACAAAACAGATAAACAAACAAGCCCCCAACCCTTCTCTCCCTTCCACTGTTAAAGACCCTTTTAAGCATGTGATGTCTTAGCATGGTACCTGCTGTTTTGTTTTTATTTTTAAGGCCATTTGGGGAGGGTTATTTATTTTTTAAGGGGAAAAAAAAGCTGCAAGAATTATATATTGCAAGGCACGATGGTCTGTCTGGTTTGGGGGAATTTCAGGAGAAATGAGGAAAAGAAAAAAGGAAAGGGAGATTTTTAAGCCAATTCTCCTCCTCCTCCTCCTCCCCCTCCTCCCCCCCTCTTTCCTTAGGCCTTTTGCATTGAAAATGCACCAGGGGAGGTTAGTGAGGGGGAAGTCATTTTAAGGAGAACAAAGCTATGAAGTTCTTTTGTATTATTGTTGAGGGGGGTGGAAGGAGGGGGGAGGACAGAAGACAAAGCTAAATGCATCTGGAGAGCCTCTCAGAGCTGTTCAGTTTAAGGAGCCAAAAGAAAATCAAAATGAACTTTCAGTTCAGAGAGGCAGTCTATAGGTAGAATCTCCCTGTCCCCCCTCCCAACATTCTTATCGTGGTTATTGTGTTTTTGGACTGAATTTACTTGATTATTGTAAAACTTGCAATAAAGAATTTTAGTGTCGATGTGAAATGCCCCGTGATCAATAATAAACCAGTGGCTGTGAATTAGTTTTACGTCAATGTCTGATGGTTTCTTTTTCTTCCTTTCCTACTGGCCTGGTAACATCCTACCTTCTATGTAGTTGCCTAAGTTTACTCTTAGCAAACACATAAACCTTAACTCTTAACTTCAGCTTTCCAGTGTCTTTAAAAGAACCAATCAGGAAGGAGTCTGGAGTAAGGGATATGGAAAATTGTGGCTAAATTCTTGTGTCTCCTCTCTCTAAGTCTGAAGAGAAGCCAGATTTGGGGGGTGAAGCTTAGGGGTGGGGGAGATGTCCTCACTTTTCCATAGTTAGACACAGACTTTTCACTTCTCTTTCCTTCCCCTTTCTCTCTGTCCAGTAGGCCTGTCTAATCTGTAGACTGGAAGGCAAATTGAGGGAATAGAAAGGAGAAAAGTTTCTTAGAGCTCCTTGGGATGAAAAAATTGTAGAAGATGTCCCACTCCTCCATTTGCATTCTCCTTAAAAGAAGAAAGGTTTTGAGTTGATGATTCTGAAGCAGCCAAGTGACCTGTCAGGATGCCATCTCTGTTTGTTTAGACTTGGAAAAAAAAAAAGGGTGAAGTGGAGGCCAGAGGCCTGGGAGGCCCCCTTGCATGAGTAGGCCTCAAAGGCTAATGCCAGGAGATAATGAAGGACTTTCATGTTTTTGTGTAACTTTTATCTTGGACCTGCCAGGTGTTAAGAAAGAGACTCTGAGAGAGGCCAGCTCCACCTCCCCATTCCTATAACCTAGCAGGTCCTAGCAGAGCTTGGTTATAGACTGAACAAGGTACTACTCAGGCTATCAAATAAAAGTAAATAAATAGTTTTCTTGGGGTTAAGGAAAAAGTACTAGCATGGACTCACCTGAAGAATTAATTCATGCCAAAAGCCCCCCAGATAATTTGGGTCCTGTTAGAGCAGACCCTAGATTAACCTACTTACTTCTCTCTCTGTCTCTCTGTCTCTCTGACTTTCTTCTTTTTTGGTGGGAGGGAACAGTTGTTTAGTCCCCCCCTCAGGCAATTTATACAAATTTAGGTAAAGGACAATGAGAAATAGGAGACAGGGAGAAGCAATCAGGAGTACATAGGGATACCCCTCCTCTATCCCAAATTCTAAAACGAAAGGTATCAGCAGGTTAGGGGCTATCAGTCTGTGAAAATCTGTTTGGTGTGCTTTACATTTCATCCTAAACCACTTGCTGGCTGGCACTTGGAGCTGAGTGTGTGTGTGGGAGGGGGGTGTGCACATTCGCTCACAGATCCTGTGGATGGGGGGGGGAGGAATTGTTTAATCCTTTAGGTCTACTTTCTCCTCTCTCAATGGTCCCCTGGAGACAACAAAACATGTTGTCTATAGTATGAGGAAGCAGGGCCAACAATTATCTGGAGTTATTTTATGTAATTGAGTGAATTAGGGGCCTGATCTGACTGTAGCCCCTATCATCTTGAGGCAATTGCCTTTGGGCAGGAAAAGGGGGGGGGGTAACTGTGCTTAGAAAAAGAGAAAGAAGGTCTGAGTGGTAGACCAGGGTATCTTTTTTAAACCTGTGAAAGAAGACGAGGTAGAAATAACTTCAGATCCATAGTTCTTTCCTCAGTTTGCTGCTTTGAAGAGATGGAAACAGGAGGGGGAATGGCTACATTTTATTTAAGTTTCTTCATGACTTACTGAAAGGGATTCTTCAACACTGGAAAACTAGCTTAAAGGGGCTTGGATATTTATTTTATTTCCCTTTCTTTACCAGCTGCTAGGTTGTTTTTTGTTTATTTTCTTGTCACACATACATAATTATTTGATATGTGTCTCTTTCTGTCCTTGATCAGAAGGGGGGGAGGAAACATGAGAAGTCCTTAAATTCTTGACAAATGAAACAAAATTTTCATCTTGTATACTTGCATTTTTGAAGATTTTAGCCTCTGACTACCAATGAGCTTGCTTTCTTGCTGTCTTCCCAAAGCTTTCCTTTGCTTTGGGTCTGACCACCCAGAAAAGAATCTAGCTCTCCAGGCAGGCATGAGGTGAAGTGTGTGTGTGTGTTGGTGTGTGTGTGTGGGGGGGCCTCCTAACCTATAATGGGGCCCCAAGCTCAAACAGTCTGGTGTCTAATACTCCTCCTCTGGATGCTTCTACAGCCTCACTGGGAAGCTGAGGGCCAGGCTTTTATTGAAGTTATGTTGAGCAGTGGGGAAAGACTGGGGTGGAGGGGGAGGACACAGCCCAGGTTCACGGGGAGGACACAGCATTTTCTCTCCCATTGCCTTTATATTCAGCAGCGCCTCTGACCTCTCCCCCACCCCCATCTCCGACCCTCCCAAGCCAGTCCTTGCTCAGTCCCTGGTCTCCAGATCCTATGCCACTGCTTTTGTACGACTGGGGATTTCTTGCCCAGAGTTATGGGAGAGGCAAGGCGCATGAATGCCCGCAGCATTGTATCTTCAATGGCCAAGTAAAAAGAAGACCAGGGTCGAAATGGCGACACCCATCTTCTAAGGTCCTTTCCTCCAAGCACCTGGAGATCCCCACAGGCCCCCAAATTCCCTTGACATGTAAGTAGTTAGCACTTGATCTGTTCTGGGGTGAAGGGCACAAAAGTTTAGCTCTGTCTGCCACTTGATTTTTGTCTCAACTCCCAGTGTTTGGGAAGGAAGGCGGGAAATCCAATTGTGGATGGAGAGCATCTGCTTGGGGAAACGGAAGTTTCAGTGTGGAGTTTCTGTGTCTGGGGAGTAAAGAAACTTAGCTCAAAAAGGAAAGCGAGAACTTAGGAGAGACTGAGACTTGAGGGAAAGATTTGTGTCTCTGAGAGTTTCTCACTGTTGTTTATGTATGAAGTTTCCTACAAAAGTTTTCTCTGTACTCTTTCTTCCTGCAAAATTGAAATCCAGAGATCTCTCTGTGATAGTGTGTGTGTGTGTGTGTGTGTGTGTGTGTGTGTGTGTGTGTGTGTATACAGGCACAAAGAGGTTGTGCTGGAGCTTGTGATCAGGGTACCCTCTACTAGGGAAGGATTCTCTGCTTTTCTAAGATTCCAGGGCCCTAAAGGAGGACTAGCAATCACAGGCAGATCCTTTCCCTCCAGTTTTGTTTCCCCTGACCCCCAACTTGATCTAAGGGGAGCTTGGTATTGTACTCACAAAGCCACTTCTCCAGGCTGTCCACATTTTCTATCTGGTACCCCATCGTTAAAGAGCTGGTTGTAATTCCAAAGCTTTTCTTCCTAGCAAACCCTCTTAGGCTTAGCAAAAAAGATGGAGAATCTCCCTAACTTCAGTGGCCACCAGAACAGAAGGAATATTTATTACCTTTCTGGCTGTCATTACCTAAGAATATGATTTTATGAACTTCCTAATCTGTTAGTTTGATTTATCTAGATGGGCAAAAGCCCAAAATAAACATTTGGGGAATTTGGTGGGGAAAATATAATAGTCTTTGCCTCTGACCAATCTTTCTGATAGAAATGGCCACATCTCCCAGCCTGCACCCCATCACCCCGTAGCTTGTTTTAATTTTTCTCCTGCAGTCTCTTGAGAATTAGAATTTAAAATGATAGGATGTGCTGTTTGAACCAGAGACTTATGGGGCTTCCCCCCCCAATACCTTAAAACTCACAGGTCAGGGAGCTCCCTTTCCTTAGAGCAGAGGGAAATGAGAGCCAATGGAGTTTAGCTCATCTGCCCTCCAAGGCCAAGAGCCCTTTCTCAGACCTGAATCTCCTTTCATTTCTCGACTTTTTCTTTTCTTTTTCTTTTTTTTCTTTTCTTCTCTTTGGCTCTGTGTTTGCAACATAGGCTCATCCAGCAAACCCCTCATCCATGGAAGCAGTGTGTAGTTTTAGCTTCCAGCTTCTTCTTCCCCCCAGGCCCAGTGAATGAACTGGAAGGAAGGGAAAACAGGGGGGTGGGCAGAAGATCTCAGAGTGAGGGAGAAAGGGTAAGGGATTGTTTTAAATTTCCAGATTCCTTCAACAAGTGCCAGATTTGGTAATATATAGAGTTCTCTCCGCTCTGCTCTGCCTGCCCTGGAGGGGTAAGGGTCAGGCCAAAGGAAGTGTCATCTCTACTCACTCTTCATTTCTGACTCCTCTTACCAGCACCAGACACTTGGAGAGAAAAGTGTATGTGAATTTCAGCGAGGAGGAGTAGAAACTCTGAAACCCAGTATGTGGCAGGCACCTCATGAAACACTTACATACTACATTGCCGGCCTCTAGTGGGGGGGGGGGGGGGATTTTGCCCCCCCTTCCCCCCCCCCAAAAAAGGAGAGAGACTGATTTTATCTAGGGGCCAGGGTGTCAGTTCCTTATTTTGGAGTGGCAGGATCTGGAGGATCGGGAAATTGGGCCAATCCTGGCAAGTACGTGGTTCGGTTTGAAAGTATACCTTCCCGCTGCTTCTCTGGCTGTCTGTGCCCAGGGGCGCGGTGTCGCCTTGGGCTGGGTCACGATCCCAGGCTCCGATGGTGGACAATAGGGCGCAGGACCGGCAGGGGAGTGGGGCGTAAGAGGGTCGCGGGGTGAGTGGCCCGAGGAGCCCAGCCCGTTCGTGGCGCGGTGAACGCGGCACGGCCCTTGGTTCCCAATCTCTTTCTCTGTCTTTCCCCTATTCCACCTTCCATTTTCTTGTTGAAAATGAAGCGGGTTTTCAACTGTTCCTCGACCCATAACCCTAAGCGACCACCTCCAAATAAGGAGATTTCATTTCCTTTAGAAATGATAGTTTCTTCTGAGTTACAAGAGCAAGAAATGGGACCCTTGCAAAAATCTTTGCAGGGATGGAGAACGGGGAAGATCTAGCCCTCAGAAGAAGCCTTCCTTTGAGATGTATCCTCGGCTATCTGGATGGACCATAGTTTATCTGACTAACAATTCTGGGCCAAGAATTCTGCTCCATTCACGGGGGGAGTGGCGGGGGGAGACAATGGGGGAGGGATTGCCTTCTTAGATCCCCAGGTCTTTGTCCCCAATGCTAGGCTAGGGTTAGGGTTTTTTTTTTTTTTTAAGTAAATGCTTTTGAAATCTGATGT